TTTTTTTTAGTTGAAGATCGCAATCAAGTTTATTCTTAGTTAAAGTTTGCAACAAAGCTCATACTGCGTCTAATTCTTGTTAGAAGTTTTCGAGTATATTGGCTGAAGTTTTCTATAAGTTTCTTCAAGCTCTTAATGTTTTGAAATTTTACTGAAAAAATTAGGAATTTTTTTGAGTTCCTGCAGCTTTTTTCTGGAGTTTTTCTGAACAATCTATTGGTAGAGCTGTTACCTTATGTTATTTTACCTGTTTTATTTAGAGCCTTCGTGGTTATTTTAATTTTTATTCGTGTTGTATTATTATAAAGTTTTATGAAAAAGTTTTGATCTTATGTTTTTTTTTGTTATTGTTTTGTTAATCATTTATTTTTTGCGTATTATTTTTTATCTAGGTGACTGAGTTCTTGTGTGCATTCATGGCTAAGCTATTTGGAGGGAAAGATCCATTTGACCATCCGTTCTTTACTCAGCCATTTGGCAGTTTGTTTGGTGGGAATAATCCATTTGATGATCCATTTTTCACACGCCCTTTTGATCAACAGCCTGGATCACGGCAGATTACTATTGAGGAATTGAACCCTGATAGTGACAGTGGAAATGGTTTTCAGAACAAGGACATGTCAAATAAAGAACTTGTTGTTAAGAACCCTACTGATCATGAAAGTGGTATCCATTTTGTTATTAATTTGTTATGTTATATTTCCATTTTCCAAAAAGTAATGTGAAGGTTACTTTTATAATTATGAGCCTGCAAGGATTTTGATGGTTTAATATAGTATGAAAGCATGCATGTCATGACCCATTCATGAAAATTGTGCATATGTAAGGCCTTCGACAAAAAAAAAGTGATTCGACCCACATATTCGAATCACTAAATTCATTTAGGACAGATGATGTTTAGGATATGTTAACAAAATTTCTGAAGTTTGCATGTTGATTTCTTTGCCTTTTTATCTTGGTTCTTTACGTGGGATTGTGGTGTTCACTTAATAGGTACCCAGCTCTTTAGTTATCAGAGAGTAGCATATGGAGGTGCGGATGGAGTGTATTACAGTTCCTCTTTTGGCAAAATGACTGGTGGTGATGGGGTAAGTGGCATATTCATGTGGGACGGTGTTGTTTTGGTGATAAATATTGTTCTAATCCTTATATTTTTATTGTCATTGGAACAGGTGGTTTTGACAGAGATGAAAGAAGAAGATAAGATCGTTGGTGAATCACTTCACACATTGTCCAAAGGAATCCACGATAAGGTAATATACTTGATGGGGGTACATTCTTGTATCATATAACTAATCACGATCAATTTTTGAATGCAATGGGTATCCTGGTGAATGTTGGAATATGCTCATAAGTAGTTTTTTTTTTTCCTCCTGTGAAATTCCCTACAGTGGTATTGTTGTTCCATTTTGAGTTATTGAGCTCTCCTAATAGATAGCAAATATCTATCTTAAGGATTTGATGTGTTTTCTTGGCAAACAATTCTATGGAATGTATCTAGCAGTTCGAATTGAAACAGGCTGAAGGCTTTTGCCTTTTGTTTTGTTCATTATTATTTATGTTTTCTAATATTGCTTCTGCAGGGTCATTCTGTTACCACAAAACATTCTTCAGATGGTAGAACGGATTCACTACAGACTTTGCACAATCTGAATGAAGGTTTGTTTCTTTTTGAAAGTGTTGAGAGGCATACTTCTAATAAATTTTTCTTCACAATACATCTCGTTGCTTCTTTATTTTTATAGACGAGCTTGGTAGTTTTGAAGAAAATTGGAAAATCACTGCTGAGAAAAATTTGCCTGGATGGAATAATGGGTTCAATTTACTTGAGAACGCAGGTAGGTTGCTTTAATACCTTATTTCTTGAGTTCTTTTCATTCTTTTTTCTAACTTTAGTCTATTATATGCCTTCTGTCTTTTCCTCTGATTTGATGTAATTTTAAATATCCGTACTCATTAAAAATTGAAAATAAAACCGAGAGAGAACTACAAACGTTTTCTGAAGAGTCTTTCTAAATTGGCTGGATCACCTTACTGCCATTGGCACTTAACACGGTTGTATGAAAACCACAGGCACAAAGCCTTTGGACAATCCTAGGGGCGCAATTCAAAGCTGTTTGAAGAGCAAAAACTCGTTTCTCCTGGAATCTTTTGTTGTTTACATACTCATCATACATATGCATTGAGGTTGACATAGAACCAAATAGTCAAGAGGAAGTTGAACCATCTAATCCTACATCAAACTTGGGCTTATCTGGCTATGAGTAAATTGCAATAATTATCACCCTTCAATTTGTTCAAAGGTGTTCAATAGCATAACACCGCCCCTTCTTTCTATAGGATTTGCATAAAGTCCTTCAGGATGCTACTTCTTCAATTAAATTTGTTGAAGTTAACTCTATAGCATTGTTATAATGCTGAAATATATTCTAGAATAGAATGTTAAATACACTCCTTTGTCGTTCTTATGCCCCGTCAATGATGAATTTTAGAGTTACATATGATATACCTTCCCAAGATGAATTCCGTACAATCTGATTAGGAACTCAGCTTTGTACTTTCAACATACAGATAATAAACATGATAACCTATTCATTCACATATTTATATTCATAAGTTTGTGTGTGCTTTGCCTTAGCCCTTCCCCAATGAACTATCAATGTCTGCTTCCTGCTGTTTGTATTTCTTAGTTATCCGTCCTACTTTCGCATCATAAATGATTGGTTTTTTCAGAAGAATAAGCTTGTTTGCCAGCCCGGACAATATAACTAATGTATTAATGGACTATTCCACACTGTTATTTCTGTTGGAGTCAGCAATTCTGTTACTTTTCAAAAGACAGAGGTAGATAGAATGGTTAAACTGAAACAAATATGGAAGTCCATGACTAATTTCGA